AGCTACGGTCGCTTGTAGAATTGAGCACCACAGCTAAAAGCGCGTGGTTGAATCTGTGGTGTGTGGAAGCGTTACTCCCGTTTGCCTCCAAGTGTGCCTGACCGCTCCTCCGCCCCGTCCTGCTGCCGGGCGAGGACTGCTGGATCCTTCTCTGTGGGTTTGTGACGAGCTCTGAGGAAAGCAGAGAGAAAACCACTAAGCTCTTTTTCACTTGACTTAATCAGGCTTTGTGTCCGGCCCTCCAGATGGAGAGCACCAGCAAATTTAGCGTACTTCATCACCCGGGCAGCTTAGCTTTGCTGAATGACAGAACATCCTTTATTAAAGAAAAAAGGGGGGGGGAAGAAAAGGCAGAACAATACAAATGATGCTTGTCTGATTAGAGAGCCTGGACTGGTGGAGTCCGTGGGATTCCCTGTCAGGTTTCGCTAGCTAAATAGACCTCTGCCAACATCTACCCCTTCTGACAGATACACCTGCTGTAGAGAGGTGGAGAGACTGTGTTTCTGATAATTTTTTAAAAATGAGAAATCTCTGAGGACCAAGAATTTGTACTTTAATCACATCTGAGGATACTTCAAAACCTCAGTGTTTCAGAAAATTGAAGACTAGATTCTTTTCTGTATGCAGAAGCTTCTCCCTCTGCTGTGGTTTTGGGAATAAATACCTAGGGAGTGGCAGAATATATACCATAGTAGTCTTATGTGAGAAATATAATCTATAATATTTATGCCTGCCTAGGAAAAATTCTGATCACCTGCTCACTGCATCAGCGACCCGCGATGATGGGCGGGTGAAACAGCACAGATTCGGTGGGGGTTTTTCCCCTTTGGGATAACGATGGGCGGATGAAGCCAGCTGGTTTTGGGTTTGTGCTTACGCACGTTCATCAGTGTTTTGTGGCAGAATGAACATTCCCTTTGTCAGTCCGGAGCTACGGAGAAATGCAGTGGGGAGTTTTCGGGTAGGTGGACACTACTGGGTGTACACAGGATGATTGCTGTATTTACGGATGCCAACTCACTGCGCACAAAACCAAAGCCATTTTTTTTCCATAGCGCTTTTGTCCCAAACAGTGTTTTACAGTGAGCATGGCTTTTATTTAGGAAAAAATGGGCTTGACAGTAAAGAAATGGCCATAAGCAATGAGCGTAAAAGGACTCTTTTGAAGTACTGCGCTAGAGGCGCGTGCCAGTGCAACTGTAGCAGTGTAGCTTTGCCCATCCAACTCCCCCAGGCCTGGATCCGGAGTTTGTCCACCCTCGCGCTCCTCGGCAGCCCTAAGACCAGCTCCACCCTCGCGCAGTGGCTGAGCCGATGGCAGGCCCGTGCCTCGGGTCTAAGGGCAGCACACGCTCACGCCGTGTGCAGCACCGCAGCCTGGTTGCTGCTACCAGTGGGAGAGGAACTGTCACGCTGGCACAAACAGCTCCCATACCTTGGTTTTACACTGTGTAGCGTCTTAAAAGGACTTAGACCCACATCGACGTCTGTGATAGATTAAATCCTATGTTCTGAAAAATGAGTGTGGGGGTACTTGGCAATATTTTGAATTTATCAGTAGCAAATTAAGTAGCGCAGTAGAGTACAGCCAGATTCTTCTCAGCCTTTAACTTGGTCTTGGTCCTGACACGTGTTCATGAAAGTGTAGAATAGGCACTTGGTGCTCACTGACGTTCTAGAGAAATTCTAAACGTATATACTGTGTACATAGAATTCTATGGAAATTAGTAATTTTTGTCTGTTTGTGTGAAGGAGGATGAGTTAAATTAAGGAAGTCTAGCATGGTTGATCTGAAATTTCTTCTTCTGTGTTAGTTCCCAGGTGGGAACAGGAACTTTAGTTCATACAGTCGGTAATAAATGAGACTGCAGAATTAATAATTGAAGACAGAGACCTTAAATTAAAGAAAAAGGCCAGGGCTTTGTCCTTTGTCTTAATCACATTTTCCTAAATATTTTGGGGAAAGTAGTAGTAACATTAGTCATTATTTACTTTATTTATAACTTTTTATTATTTTATTTATATTACCAAAATGAACATCGTTTAAGTCTCTCAAATTCCATTCCTGTCTTTTGAACATTTGCAGTTTTCCAGAACTTTACCTTTAGATTTGAAAGCTTTGCTAGTGTTTGTGGGAAAGGGCTTTCCCTTAGTTTCAACTAATCCATAGAAGATAATTTTATTAATATGTTGAAATACTTAAGGATGTGGGAAGGACATTTGGGGGCATATTGAGTCCAACCCTGAAAGGCAAGCCGAGACGTTTGGTCATAGTTCTCAGTGAGTTTCCTCTTTTGTCTGGTTTTAAAAATGTAGCTGAACCAAAAGACGATTATTTGAAAATCACCTCCAGAGTAATAAAAAAATGCCCTGAAGTCCCCGAGTGCACCTGCCAGGCTTTCATTGGTGGTGCATTGAACTTACTGATGGCTTGGTGCAATAGGTCGTTCACGAGTTCCACAAGCGGAGTGACGCACACCAACACATTTACAAACCTCGGCCTGTCAAACAGCTGCCAAAAGGTACCGGAGATGTCTTCATGAGTTATTGATTAAAATCAGAAAATGTCAAGAAATGTAAACTCTAGGATTCCAACATTGCTATTTAAATTTTTTTTTTTGTACTGTATGTGTATGCAAACCCACAGACTGGTTTTACGTTGCGTCTTGGGTTTAATCATATCTGAAGGGGTCAGTTTGCAGAAAATACGCAAAGTACACAACCTGATTAATGTTACTCTCCAAATGTTACTTTGCTTTCTTGTGATTTTAATAGTGAAGCTAATTTTTTAATGAACAGATTATTTTAATTTAATTATTATTTAATTTAATATTTATAAGCATTTATAAGGTCCCCTCTCAGCCTTCTCTTCTCCAGGCTGAACAAGCCCAGCTCCCTCATCCTTTCCTCGTAGGAGAGATGCTCCAGTCCCCTCATCATCCTCGTAGCCCTCTGCTGGACTCTCTCCAGTAGCTCCTCATCTTTCTTGAACTGGGGAGCCCAGAACTGGACCCAGTACTCCAGATGGGGCCTCACTAGGGCAGTGTAGAGGGGGAGGAGAACCTCCCTCGACCTGCTGGCCACACTCCTCTTAATGCACCCCAGAACTGTCCAGAAGTCTTAATTGAACACAGCCTCCCACAGTGTTGGAAGGGCGCAGTAGACAGCCTGTCTTGGAGCTTACCCGTCTCCCAGCACTGCCGTGTCCGAGCACCATCCCTGTCAAACCCAGAGCAGCAGCGAAATGGAGCGTGCGGGTCGGCTGGTGTCCCTCTGGGGTCAGAGCCGTGTTCGGGGCCGGGCTTCCGAGGAGGGTGTGAGAGGCTGCCACAGCGTGAGGGAGAGGAGGGCACTGGAAGCGCCCGAGAGCTTGTCGCCGAAGAAGGCAGATTTGCAAAGTGATAGGGAAATCTATTTGACTTGTGTAGTGATCACGGCTGCTGACATCGCCGAGAGGGAGGGAGAGAAATCGCTTTCGAGTAAGCTGGTGATCGAACCGTTTACTGCTTTTCGATCCATGTTACCCAGCTGAGCGTTGCCTGGAAGGGGCTTCTTTGTCATCGTGGGTTTTGGCAGTGAAGCTGCATGCTGCTGGTGTGAGGGGCTGCTCCCACCATGCTCTGCGGCTTGCGGGTAACCTTAAATGGAGCCCATCGTGGGTAGAAAATGGTGATCTAGTCTCAAGTGTGGCGAAAAGATATCAAACCTCTGTAAAACTTGTCCAGGAGAAATATGACGTTAGGAAGAGGAAACGGAGATGTTGGCCGTAGCTGCGTTCAGGAGTGGCTCCAATCCATGAGGTACCCGGCTACACCAGCATTCCGTCAACACTACACTTCAGTTGTCTGAAATTGGAGACAGCAAGGGATTTGGAGTGGAGGACAATATAGTTAAGAGTCAAACTTTGAAACTAAGTGTGTGTGTAATATACCTACTGTGTATAACAAGGCCAGAAGTGACCAAGGGCGTTCCTCAGGAGAAAGGGGAGGACGCACACATGAAAATGTCGGCGGTGGCACTTGAGCAGTCAGTTCAGCCGTTAACCTGAACCAGAGGTACCTGTGATGCTCCCGAGGTATTTGTAGCAACACTGTGACACTCGGCGCCGGTCTCCCTCACACTCGTCTGGACGTTGACACAGTTTTGTTCACTCTTCCTGAGTTAAAAATCTTGAAAAACGCATTTTGGAGGTGACGTCCTAAGTGCCTCGCCTGGACGCAGGCTTGCTGTGAACCTGCTAAAGGAATTGCCCTGTGGCTCGGGGTTTTGCATCTGCTGCATCTCTTGGTGCGGTTCTTGGTAAAGCCAAAGATGAATACATGCGTCCCTGTGAATCAGGTTACTCCGCCAGTAGCAGACCTGGATGAAGTGTTGAATATTTTAACATTTTCTGACCTGTTAGGCTTGATACCACAGTACAGTATTATGAGAGATGTAGAAGTAAGCATGTAAAACATTTTCTGGCGCAGAGTTCTTTGAGAAATTGTGTCACAGGCTTCTGCACATCGACTTGCTGATGCCTCTTATGAGTCATTCGCATTTCTGCTTCTGCTGTTCGTGTCTGCTACCGTAGAGATCTATATATACATTGGCTTTTTAGGGCAGTGGTATGAGAGTCAGCAATGGTCTAACGCGCAAGCTTTCTAGAAAATATTATAAATTCTTTTAGGTTTTTGTTGTTTGCTTGGGATTTGGTTTTTTTTCCCTCCTCACTGAGTGACATCTTGACAGGCTGAGCCAGAAGCTTTCTCACCCCGCAGGTACAGAAGGACAAAAGAGATTGATGTGTTACAGTGCTCTGCCTGGGGTTCCTTGGGTGTGCTTCAGCCTCTGTTTTGTTTTATGAGGCAGGGGTTAGAGAGCTGGTTTCAAGGAGGGGGTTTTAGAGCTGCTGGGAAGCTTGGTGGTTTGGACTACATCCAGTAGATGACAAATCCAGTCACCAGCATGACTGTGTCTTCTCAGCGTTTACTGTGGTTCCTTGTGTTTAATTGCAGACCTCAAAAGAGGACCTTCTACAAGCTGACTTTGAAGGAGCTTTAAAATTCTTCAGGGTTCAGTTGCCCAAGAGGTACAGAGCTGAAGAGAACGCCAGAAGACTGATGGAACAAGCTTGCAACATTAAGGTAAGGATGGGCTTCGTTTCTTCTCAGTCACCCAGGGTTTTTACAGGAAAAGTGAGGGGCGACGTTAAGAGTGGCCATAGCATGTGGAAAGTAAATTAATTAAATCATTAGTTTATTACTCTTTATGTATGTTTGTATATTTATACACGCATGCATGCACGCATTTATTATATTTAAAGAAAATAAAGCTTTGGGCTTTCCTCTCTTTGCTTCGCTACAAGCTAATAATCAAAATAGAAAATCGATGCGTAATCAGACTCAATTATCAGAACTCACTAAGTCATTAACTGATTTATAAACACTAAATCAATTAATCAAATGTATGATAAGCGTGCACCCAAAGGTCAGATATTATTTGTTTTGCTCAGAAGTTGTTCATTCGCTGAGTGCTGCTGTAGGATACGATTGTCTTGGGGTCGAAACTTAGTTTTGTTTCTCTGTCAAGCTTACTGAGACAGAAGATCTTTTTATATTCAGCCCTGTCCAAGCCTGTGCTGTCGAAAGGTGGGCTGCTGTGAGCGGCTGGAGCACAAGTACCGGGCTCGCGCTGAACCATGGCGAGTTACAAGAGCCTGGCTGTAAGCTTTTAAGGCTGGCAATCTTATGTTAAAAATGGCCACAGAGGTTCGTAAAGCCGCCATTTGGAAGGTCTGCTATTTTTTCTGGCACTTTTTTTGTTGAAATATGTATAGCTGTGGATGGGCTTAACATTTGGTCTTGAAAAAAAGTGGTTTTATTTCTTGGAGTGGGAGCACTGATGGGAAATGTGTGGTTGGTGTGGCCCAGTAATGGGCTGAGAACATCCCATCAGAAAGAATGCTTCTCTAACATTCCGCCTTTTTTATCTCTCTCTCTCAATATATTTGTTAATATACTTTTGTGCTGCTTAATTTCATAGTTTATTAAGCAAGGGCTTCTTCCATACTGTTTAAAACTCTGATCTTATGAAAGAGTGGGGGTTGCTCTACTGATGTTTATTCCAGCCAGAAAAAAAATCTGTGCAAAGGTTTTATTAAAATTCGACTTGAGATTTGAGCTCTGCTACTGAAAGAATTTGGGAGTAAAAGACTACGGTTTAGTCCTTTGGTCAGTTCTTGAAAATGAGTGATTTAAGGACTTAACAAATACAATAACATTATCCTTATATTGTTTACTCAGTGTGTAATTTTCTGATGGGAGGTTAAGACAGAAGTCCTCGTGGTACTTTTTGGAGGAGACACTTGTCAGTTTTCTTGGACCTGCCTTTCTCATGTTCTTGTGCAATATATAGTGTGCTACAGGATGGTATTTTTCATGAATTTTTCGATTTGTATTGGGTGTGTATGTATATGATGTGTTGTGTCGGGGAAGTATTTTGTAGTGCAGTTAAGGCAGGTGGTCAGTACATAGTGCCTCGTATGGGTTCTGCACATGGGGCCTTTTAAAAGCAGAGAACAAAATTCTGAACGATTCGTCGGCGCAAATGGGATGGCGGCTGAAGGATTTGACAGCGAATCCACTGCACACTCAGGGTTTCGCATATTCTGGGTTCCATTGTGTAAGAGAAAAGCGCAGATGAGTACAGCAGGCACGGAGTCAAGGCACTCTCCTGAGTCGTACTGAACTATACAAGGATTAGTAGGAATTTTTGAAATGCAGGGAGAAGTGGATAGAAATATTCGATGTCTGTATCCCCAGCAGCTGTATCGCAGCGTATATCTTGATGAGCTTTGCCCTCAGTATTGGCCTTTTCACTCAGTAAGGTGAGGGGGACATCTGAAAACTGTTCCACAGCCCAGCAGGCCACAGAGAGGAAATATTCTGAATTTTGTTTTGTTCAGCTTCGTGCCATCAAGAGTCATGGCCTTCCAGGATGAGAGATGTTTTCCCTTTCAGAACTGCAGCAGGAAGGCATACTCAGAAGGTCTTTTGGCTTAAGCTTCTCGAATCTGGCTCCTTCAGGATTAGTACCAGCTCCTTTCCATCCTGGAGTCTGAAAATAGTAGACAGAGCAACAGGTGGAGGTCGCACTGCTTGACATTTCTGTCTTCTGCCATCCTTGCCACGATTTGTCTGAAACAACTTGGCTCGATGAGAAGGAGGAAGTGGAACTTTTTCCGGAGCTGGATTGGACACATTTGAGCCCCAGATGCAGGCTGGCTGGAGGACTGACTGACCTCCTTTAAGGTGACACTTTCAAATGTTCTCGAAAAGCTTGCTGCCTCCGGTGGTCTGTGCGTCGAGCCGTAGCAGAGCATACAGAGTCACTGCTGTCAGCAGAATAGTCATCATAGCTGGTCTTTAGAAGGGGAAGTCCAAACTCTCTCTTCCTTCGAAGGAAACAAACCCAGCAGCTTGTAACGGATTTTTCTGATGGATGCCTGAAGTTTGAATACAGAAAAAGACCGTGATGATGATGCCCGACAGGTTTGCAGTGCCTCTTGTTCACAGTAAGATGCTTTCCTTTTTGAAGACGCTTCTGTGATGCAAAAGAGGCTGTGGAGGAAGAATAAATGTATCCCAGGATCAGCACCTCGGACTAGAATGAAAAGGAGCAAAACCACAGGCTTTCACATGTTGAGAAGAAAGACGTGCGGGTAGAAGTATAGATACAGAAATGCCTAGAAATGAGCTCTGCGGCCCACATTTATGTTGGCCAAGATGTGTTCCTTGATATTGTCTTCAACATCAACCAAACTGTTGAGGCTTAAGATGGAGATACCTCCCTGGAGGTGAAAATTCGTCTGTGCTTCTCTCGGCTCTCTTCCAGTCTGTCAGGTCTGAGGAAGCAGGTAGCATCTTGGCAGTAAGTAGCATAGAGGTAATTCAGAGCAAATCTACTTCTTCACATACAAAAGACCCTGGGTCCAAGGTGCCGTGACCCTTGCTAGCCTAAGTCTTTGTGTTGTCGGTGACAATTCTTTTTTAAACTGCAGGACCCTGAAGAATATTACGTCTTTATTTTTTTAGAGCTCAGTTCCTGTGACCAAAGAAACTCTGTAATCTCCCCTCTGAACAGTGGAGGAAGAAGCTCTGTTGTCTGCTGGGAGTTGAGTGCACACAAGGAGAATTATCTTTTATTTCTGACCCTACAAATCTTAGAATACGGGCATTTGGAAGAGATTGCATTTGAGCAAAGAGTTTCAAGCTGCCTTGTGTTGTATTTGATCAATCTTTCTGATATGTGTCTTTCTCGGAAACACTGTTGTTACTGTATTTCTGCAGATGTTACAGAATTTAAAACTCAAGTTGTTGGCCACAAGTCATGACTGTGGTACAGAAAACTCCGGTAGCCTGGAGCCATGGCTATTGCGTGCAGTGGCGTGGGGAAAGAAACCTCATTCATTCTCCCTGTAGTGCAGAGAACAGTGGGGATCAGACAGTTGTTTCATTTCGTTTGTTTTTTCACAAATGAGGTGACAAATTCTGAAGCACCACGCCATAATGAGAATTAAAGCTAAACTTTTAACAATAATTGGGGGCCGGGGGCAAGGCAAAGCCTAACAACGTTTCCTTCTTTGCTCCCCAGAGCTTTTGCGAATAAACAAAGACAAGACACTGGGGACAGTGACTTTATGCATTTTTGCTGGTGTTTGATTTCTCAGGTACCTGCAGCTGAATTTCTCTGCTTGGGAAAGAAGCGAACAAACAAAACTAAGTATAGAAAGACGGCCGTATGCATTTTATAAATGCAGAGCTCCGCAGTGACGGGAGCTTTTGGAACTGAAGTCCCTATCAATAACTCTCCATTACAAACCCTGGGTTTTATTTTTGCCAATATTGATACTGTTCAAAGTTAAAATCAGTGAGTAGTTACTTGGCTGTTCTCTAAGCAATGTGTAGCTACTCGAGTAGAAGATGAGCTGAGTGCTTCATATGGGCAATATCCACTTTTTTAGGATCTCCTTACCGCTTTCCTTCAGGATTCTTTGGTTTCCTGCAGTTAATTGCCTTGATTTTTACTGCATTATAGCCTTATTTTTCTTGTGGCGAGCAAGTAGAGTAGTAAACATAGGGTTAAATTGCTTACGTTGTTTAATTTGTTTGTGTTTGGGCATAAATAAATTACATCAGGCTGGTAAACAGAGCTGGAGAGCTGTATGCCAGAGGCTTTGGAGAATCCAGGTACAGCGCTATATAGCAATGTCCGAGGATATTTATCTCCATTTGTAGAGGTGTTTCATTTTATTTAGGAATGACAAAGTGCCGGTTTACTCTTTCACAAATATGTAAATAGTCTTGTGGTATTTGGCTGTTTCATGTTGCTTAATTCTGAGATAATTCATAGAATCATAGAATGGTTTGGATTGGAAGGGACCTTAAAGCTCATCTTGTTCCAACCCCCCTGCCATGGGCAGGGACATCTTCCACCAGCCCAGGTTGCTCCGAGCTCCACACAGCCTGGCCTTGAACACTTCCAGGGCGGGGGCATCCACAGCTTCTCCAAGCAACCTGTTCCAGTGCCTCACCACCCTCACAGTAAAGAGAATTTCTTCCTTACATCCAGTCTAAACATACCCTCTTTCAGCTTGAAGACATTACCCCTTGTCCTATCACTACATGCACTTATAAAAAGTCCCACTCCAGCTTTCCTGTAAGCCTGCTTTAGGCACTGAAAGGCTGGTATAAGGTCTCCTGCATCCATGTCCTTCTTATGTTGGGGGCTCCAGAGCTGGACGCAGGACTCCAGGTGGGGTCTCACGAGAGTGGAGTAAAGGGGTAGAATCCCCTCTCTCGACCTGCTGGCCACGTGAACACCTGGGCAGAGAGGTGCCAACCCATTGCCACATCAGCCAGCATCTATCTGCAGATTTTCTTTGCTGTTACACTCACTGCTGTTTCCGATGCGCGCCCGCAGCTCTCCAGGTGTGCAGGTGAGCTGTGGAAGCTGTCGCGGGGATGACAGGTTCCTTCTTCTCGTTGCTGTCACTTCCCCACGTTCCTTATCTCTGCAATAAAAATTTAAAGGATAGGAAAAAGTTTAAGAAGTATTATTAGGGGTCTGTTTGCTGGGAAGTCTT